ATCGCTTCGACATGAATTTCTTGATTTGGGTATACACCAAACTTGCCGGAAATCCATTGAACGAGAAAATATTTTGTACAAAATCCAAATTCAGCGTGCATAGCATGGTATGTTGAACAAATGCGAAAACCTCTGTATAATAGTGTTTGAAGACCATTTAACTTGAACCGGAATAAACAAAAACTAAAGAAACTGGTATTTAGACCTGTGAATGTCGGTTTGTGATAGAATCATGTTGTGAGTTTAGGTAATCAAAGAATGGTTTGACGTGGGAGGGTTGTTTGAAAATTAAGAAGGTGTCATCGACATATCTGTTATAAAATATTGGCTTTGAATCAAGAGGACAATTGGCCAGCCAAGAAACCTCGTGAAAACACATAAAATATTTGCAAATGTCGGGCCAAGCGGTAGTCCCATGCCTAAACCGTCAATCTGTCTAAAAACTTGCCAGCAATTATGAAAAAAGAGTTAAGAACTGATAATTCTTAAAGAGATTTGAGAAATCTACGGTTTAAACCGATTACAGGACCATTAATATTTTTAAACAGAGAATTGAAACAAATTTCTATTGTTTCGTGAAAGGGTACATCGCTAAACAAATTTTCTACGTCAAATGAGGCCATAGAAAAATGTTTCAAGCGATCCACAAACGTATAAGAATTGTCAACAGTATACTGATTAGTCGTAAGAAACTTTAAAACCGGTACCAGAAATTTAGCAAGTTTAAAACTAGGAGTATTACACGCAGCAAAAATTGGTCTGAATTGAAACTTAGAAGCAAAATCAGACTTGTGAATTTTAGGTAAGCCATATAAAATACCAGGGCAAGAACCAGAGGTGTAAAGTTTAGTAATAAAGTTTCAGGTGAAAGGTCAGAAGAATCTTTAAGTTTACGAAAAAATTATTGATTTTGTCTTCGATTTTCAAAATGGTTTTAGAAATCTGATCTGTAATTTAAACAAATTTGGAAGGATCGGTGAGGATTGCATTTAGACTACTGTTGTAGCGACTACGGTCCACCAGAACAACGCCCTTGCCCTTATCAGGTTTACAAATGACTCGGTCTTTATTTTTTGCTATGTCTTTCAATGAAAATGTGTCACGAGGTTGGAATACAGAGGAGATAGCGTTCGTCGGGATGACGTCACGCAATCTTTATTCCAGGGTCGCTGAGCATAAGGGCAGGAGTTGTAGGACCGGACAGTTTCTATCGCGCCCCCCTCATTTGGCTGTGCGCACTCACGCCGAGCAGTGTGGTGTCCCTGTTTCTGTCAGTGACTTTAGGGTGTTAGCTTCCACCTCCGGTGCTTCAGATTTGCGTATTTTAGGAACATTGTACATTTTCAAACCTAGGCCCAGTTTAAATTCAGCTGTTAGTTCCTATCCCCTTGAAGTTGTAAATAGATAGTTTTTTCATGCCCTATTACATGTAAATTTATGTTTTTAAATTGTGTTCTGTGCTTTCAATTGTATAAACTTGCATTTTTCTATATAAATTCTAGATTCTACGAACTGGCGATGGAGCTGGATTCCGAAACGTTTTCTATAAAGATATGAATTTTTGTGGACTATTCTTTGCTTTTAAATTTTTAGTTACCTTGCGATTTAATCAAATAAGTGACATAAATTCCTAAATTAATTCTCAAAAGATCGAGTCCTTCGTCGTCCTTGACCACCGAGGGGAATAAACGCGCACCCCTGCTAAGCTACCAGCTGACTCGACCAATCACGTTGGAGCTACAAGACGTCCAGTCTCGTCCCAAGACTCCAATAACCAAATCACGTGAATTAACAGCATAATATCACTGTTAAACGAGATTCCATATTTTTAATATACAATATTCATCCATTGAGTCACTAATCCAACAAAAAAATCATCAAATAGTATAGTATAGTATAGTATAGGATCTTCGGCATTAAATAAATAGGCCTGGATAGGCCTGTCGCCGATTCTTGTACTTTTCTTGACTAGACTGGCCTTACGGACGGTAGATTTAAAATCACTTCTAGATATCAGTTGTTCCGTAGGGTACGAGGCATTTTAAGACTGAACATATGCTCATGCATGGCCTTGTCTAGTCTGTTNTGATGTAATGCGTCAGGTGTCTGGGGCTGGAAGAACAGTCAAATTGTTGTCTGGCTTTTCCTTAGGACAGATCGAATCTAGCGTGCTCTTTGTTCACTTGGAAGATAATCCTGTGTTGAGGAGCACCTGTAATGAAGGAGATACGCCTGTCTCTTATACACATCTAGATGTGTATAAGAGACAGCTCTTCTACCATTGATTCTTCACTAGTAAACACTAGGTCTAGAGTATTTGGAGTCTGATTACCTCTAAAATGGGTTGGCTTTGTGATGTGCTGGTATAAAAATGAGTCTCTCAAAATGAAATGAGTCTCTCAAAAATGAGTCTCAAATAACGCGTAGTGAAATCGGTACTCCTTAAATATAGAAATAATCGTGTCACATAATATTTATCCCGTCACAATTGCATGCGATATGCCCTTTTCAGAGTTTCAAGAGTTATTTAAGGGGACCGACCTGGCTAAAATTTTCAATTTTGGCGTTTTCCACTTTTTGGGCTCATCTTAAAGCTTACTTTTTGACGCATCCAACGGTGTAGGAGATAGATTTTCTAAAGTACCCCTTTTTAGCCGTTTTCTATGAATTTCACGTTTTCTATCAATTTTTTCGAAAAATTCGTATGAGCAAAATGTTTTTCTTTTTACATTTTAAGTATGTATGTGAAGTTTCATGATGATCGGATAATAACTGTAGAAGTTATTCGGTCCTAAGGTCGGTCCCCTTAATGAAACGTATAAAGTACCATATAGTTTTGTGTTGTTCAATGAAGATGAGCAGCCAGGTTCAGGAAAGTATTCCAAAAATTTTAATCAATTCCAGAATTCCAGTTCAACAAATTCCAGAGAGGTATCTTCCAGAGTGCCACTCGCTGTAGGTAAAGTCCCGGCTTCTCATTTAAAAATGTGCGTGGTCAATTGGAGGTAAGTGATCTGATTTTTGATCGGGGGGCAGTGAACAGATTCGAAATAAGATTGTTGGTAAATGGTCGGTGATCTCTGATTCAAGCTGTTTCTGCAAACTGTGATGATGAACTAGCTTTTCTACCTACTTCAATGCATTCAGTTAGAGGACTTATGAAGTTCCGTTCAACTCGCTAAAGTATATTGACGGGTATGTTGGCGATGGATTGGCATATGTTGTTCTTCAAATGAGGAAGGGTTCTTGGACAGCCACTGTAAACAATAACTGATATATCGTGTGAAATATCTTCAGTCGGTCAGTTATTAGTCTTCGGTCAATCTATTTAAGTTGGATGCGGTATATTTGTAGTTTCGTGCCTTCTGAGTGGTTAGTAACTGGAGAGTGGGTTTTGATGGTTGATTAGGAGATTTGATGACGCATGGTGATGTTATGAATAATTTGGAAGTCGAGGTATTGATGGGGGTTGCCGCCGCTCGCTCTTTGGTATAGGCCGATAGGGTTCGAGGCGTAAAAAAGGGCAATAATAATTAAACAATGGAAAAGTGCTAAAGCCCGAGTGTATCGTGGCAGTGCACTCATTTACAAAAAATGATAGGAAAAGAGGCCCTGGGAGTAATTAGCAATCAATTCCTGGTAAAGCGCGCTTCTGGCTGGGCTGCTTTTAATCCGGAACGCTTGCAGAACTTTTAAAGCAACGATGAATTGAGCCACCGCCAATTGCCGCAGGAAGTCCGGGCCGCTATTTGGCTCCAAACAAAAAATTTAGCTGACTCAATTCTTTCGTTGCTTTGAAGTTATAACGAAGCATAGAACTGCAATCACAGTTCAGTTCCTTTCCGTGGAAGTATTGCGTCTTTTCAACGGATTGACAATGGGGCTGCGAGGAGGATTTTAAAATTAAGGTCCCAATAGGCCCAACTGATCTTGTGAGACCGTGATTTGTGACGAACAGCCGGCGCCTGTGGGGCAAAAGATGTATGTTTGGACGGAACGAAACAGCATCTACATGGTCCAATAGCTTCTTTCAAGAAATAATTAAAAAACTCTAGAATGGGTGTATAAAATATATCGGTATATATTCATTATTAACAACTGGTCTTATGAGATAAACAGCATGTTTTTAAATTTCAATGCATGCTGTAAATTCTAAAAGCCCAGAAGGTGCAAAGACCCCTTGAAGAGTCACCTCTCATGCAACCACCAGCTTTAAATACTGCACACTTATCATTGAACCACCGGCTGCAGATACAGCACACCTTTCGTGCTACCGGCTTCAAATACGGTACCCACCCCTCTTATACAACCCTCGGCTACATATACGGTACATCTCTTCAGCAACAACCGGCCGCAAATACAAGACACCTCCCATAAAACAACGGCTGCAAATACGGCACGCCTCACACGCAACCACCGGCAGCAAATACAGCACACCTCTCATGTAACTACTGGCTGCATATACGGTACACCTCTCATGTAACCACCCGCTGGTTGCATGTACGGCATACCTCTCATATAACCACTGGGTACATATACGGCACACCTCTCTTAATTCACCAGCTTCAAATACGGCACATAACTGTTGTAATACAAGCTACACATATGGTACATCTCACTTACTAGCGCGGGATGCAAGAAAAAACATAAACTATAACTCACTGCATTTTTTATTATTAGGAGGTTTTAATTGTGTATTAACCCCATGATGCACAAACTGTTGGCGAAGTTCGGATAAAACTGGTAAATTAGTGTATATAATTTAGAGACGAAATGTGGCAGACGTTTTCATTGCTGAATGGCATTGGAAATAAATTAGTGTATATAATTTAGAGACGAAATGTGGCAGACGTTTTCATTGCTGAATGGCATTGGAAAAGTCTGAATACGACATGTATCGTCTTACACGAGACTCAATACGACATACTCACGACTGCATACGACATGTCTCGCCAAGCTCACTGCCGATAGAAGTGCCACTTACAAAATAATGATTGCAGGTGCCACAGCGACGGGCTGTGGGGGTTGTACGGTGAAGCTGCAGTCAACGCAACCCAGCCACGCATGCGGTTCGTCTGCCAGCCCCGACACCTCAACCCTCTAAGTGAGTGCGCCTGAATAACTTAGTATGTTTTGTTCATATGAAGCATTTGGTTAGACCTGCAAACGGTCATCCGGTTCACTTGTCAGGTTGCAGAGCGTTATGCTACTTATTAGCACTTACGAGTTTTTGACTGTGCACAGCAACGGTCAATCCCTAGGAGGGCTAATTAAAACAAACGGAAAAATTTATAACGCTACTTCAAATCATCGTGGCTCAGATGAGAGATAATCCAATTCGCTAGGAAATTTTTTTTCTGGAGCAATCTTAATTTACATAAAAAAATCAGGTCCATCATCGGATCAGGTCCATCACCTGATAAATCACCTTTCAAACCTTTCAAACTAATCAGGTCCATCACCTGTGAAAAAGTGCGTTGAATGCATCAAACCGTATGCATGAGCCAGCTTTAGGTGGTACGTGAGGCAGTTTTAAACATACTCGTATAAAATGAAAATTTAGTTGGAAACGGTGCAAATATATCTTTCATTATATTATTATTATTATATATATCTTTAGAAACCTGTATATAAAGATTGTTATTCGCGGTAAACTGGACAACAACGATTCATGCGGCGCTTGATGGTACCCTCAATGTGAGTAATAGCACTTGACGTTGTGGCACTTGACATTATTAGTGCTTTGAAACAGCCTTAGTTCGTCTTCGACAGGAACAAATTGTACTCTTATGTCTACACGCTGATGGTTGCTCACGAATCTTCGCCGTCTACACGAGGCAATTCTTATTCATCACCACGCACACGATCACTAACTACTACTTGCCGCAATCACAAACCCCGATATCACTCACCGTCACACAGCTGCTCTTTCGTCCCACCAGCCTTTAAGCTAAGTTTTAAATTTTCCTATATCACCTCCTAGCGGACAACCTCGGTAGCTATGTTCCTCGTGTCAACAAGCGTGGTTCACTTCATTGATGCTCGCTCAATATTTGAAACTAGCAGCCTACTAGCTATTCGGATTAGCAGCCTTCCACCAGTGAGTGTCGCTAGGAAGAGTGACTCATATCTGTTTCTATCATCTTTTGTATATACGACTATACCACACCATATACCAGTGTTTTCGCTTCCTCCCCTCCCCCCACCCTCATACACCTCAGGAGGCACTAGGAAAATGGTCGCAAAAGTGCCTCCACCAGGAGGCACTTCTGCCTCGAACCGGACGGGCTTGTCCCAGAGGGTAGAAATCAGTGGCCCCCCACCATCATCACGCCCAAGACTCCCATCTCACTCTATTCCATTTCTATTTCTAGGCCGTCGATCCCCGTCAGGGACTTGCCCCCCCCACAGAATCCCACACCTGGCACGTCCTCTGGTGCCTCGCCATGTTGGCGGCCGACAGCACCCTGTTGCACCCCGGACACTGAGCGACCCTCCCCCTCCTGGCTCTCCGATGTCTCGTCCCCCAGCGTCTTCCCTCACACGCCCTCCTCCCTTCCTGACCCACACCCTCCTCCTCCCGACTCTCACCTTTCCCCTACCGACTCTCACCTTTCCCCTCCCGACTCTCCCCGGCGCCTCCCTCCCCTCCTCCACACCGGCGCCAACGTCTAGTATCCCAACACACCCCCTCACATGCCTCGCGTAATTTCCCATCGTAATCCAAGTATTGCACCTCTTGCACTGTCTCCTGTCTCCCACTCCACTCGCTCCACCGGTACACGTCCTCTCATGATTCACTCTAGCACCCTCCGTCTCATTTCTCATACCACATATACTACATACAAACCTCACTCGCTCCACAGCTACTCTATGCATGCGCTTCTGGTGGTTGGTCAAGCCCGCCTTACTTCGGCAGACCTTCCCACACCCCTCATATCTGCACACCCAGTCATTCATTCTTCTAACATTCCTGTCCAGTCTCGCTACATTTGCTTCCCAAACGTTCTCATGCCCTTTCTGACATTCCCACTCATACAAATGCTCCATGCGTTCTTTCACCATGCCCTTCCATCCATCCCTATCTCTGCTCAGCCGCTCCACATCAGTCCAGTCCACTACCGCTTCCTTCAACATCCGCTTCCAGTACAAGACAGTCTTCCTCTTACGCCCTTTCATCTTCCCGAAACCTTCCAACCTCTCAAACCATCCTAGCATCATCGCTTTCGTCAGCCTCTCATTTCACATTCTCATAACATGTCTCACTCGCTTCAAAACACGCTTCTCTATCTTCCATCTCACACTATTTACACCAAACACTTCCTAACATCCCACATGTTCACCCCTCTCGCTTGCATTTGCCTCAGAGGCTGGCCATTCCGATCTCTCCACACGTATCTATGACACTTATCCATCCTGCGTTCCCGGTCGCTGCGGCCAGAACATGGAATGGTCTGCCAGCATCGGTGACATCTGCTTCTTCGCTGACGTTGTTTCGTCGACGCCTAAAAACAGAACTTTTCCGTAGAGCCTTTGAATCTTAGGCCTAGCCATTATCCAATTTATCATGGATTTTACTGGTTTAGCATAGGTGTTATTTGTTCTAGTATAGACGTCATCAGTCTTGGCATATGTCCTCTGTTTTAGCATAGATGTCATCTGTTTTTAGCATCTTGTGTTTTTTTAGCCGCTTGTAACGTGCCCTCGAAGTTCGATCTGAACGAGACGCCACGACAATCTCTTCGTGGAATAATAATAATAATAATAATTCTCGACCCTTACAGCCACCCTTTCACTCTCTACCACAAATTTCCAGCTCTCTTGATCCTGTTATTCACATCCTCTTCCGAACTCACCCAGCTCTAAAGTACTCTAATTTCACCCCCCTCTTCCGTCCCAAACTCAAGCACCACCTCTTTCTCCTCATTTTTTTGTTCCTCCCACTGATTCATCACTTCTTTCACTGCTCTCACACCATTCTCAATCTCACTCTTCACACCCACAATCGTTGTGTCGTCAGCAAACAAAGCCAAGGACACTTTTACTCTCACACACTCACTACTCCCCTTCTCCCATGCACTCTCTCCAGCAAACGAACCCCCTGGCACCCATCTCCAAGTCACCCCAACTTCTTCACCCCCGCTTCTTCTCGCCACCTCCGCTTGCCTCATTACCGCCTGATGGTACACATTAAACAGGATGGGTGACGTGGAGCACCCCTCTCGCAGGCACCCAGCTTTCACTTACTCCCTCCTTCTCTCTCATCTTGTAAACAGTCGACTCATGCAAATCCACAATCGTATCAAAACATTTCCCTTTCATTCCATACCTCTCAAGTAACCTCCACAAACCCGGTTTATTCACTCTCGGATACGCTTTTCTCAAATACAGCAGTCTCGCTACAGGCCACTCCTCTTCATTCATGCCCTCATTCCAATTCAGTTTCATTCTTCTCTTCAAATCAACCACGTCCTCTTGCATACGACCCATCATTTGCACCACAACCGCTGTCGACCTTCCCTTTCAAAACCCTGCCTGTTCCTCATCCAACAACCCCAAATACTCAGCCCACCACGCCACTCTCTTCGCTATCACCCTCGCAAGTATCCTGCTCCCCATACTCAACAGACATACCCCCCTATAGTTATTGCAGTTATTCCTATCGCCCGTCTTGCATAACGGAATCATAATGCCTACTTTCAAAGATTCATCCCAAGCCTCCGCTCTCTTCACAAACATTTCTCTCACCAACTCAATCACTCTGTCTCTCACTCCTTCATCAGCCCACTTAATATATCCAATCCTCACTCCATCTTCCCTAGGTGCCGACTCTTTCATATCTTCCATAGCCGCAACAATCTCTCCTCTTTCAGGCACTTCATTCAGTCGATCATTTGTCTCTTTCGCTCTTTCGCACTCTCGCAGGTCAGTCGCACCATTTACCGCCCGTTCTATCACTCTCGGCTCCTCTTCATAAATCTCGCACGTCACTCGTTCAAAATGCTCATTAAATTCATTTACAAAGATATTCGCACTCACTCCCGCCTTGCATCCCCTCGTGCCAATCTTCGTCAAACACTTGTACATGTCTCCCACTCTGCCTGTCGTACACGCTTCCTCACATTCCCTAATCTTATTCTCCCACCACTCTCGTTCAAACCGCCGCAACCGCCTTCGCAAAGCTCTCCTCGCCTGCTTCACCTCCTCTATCGCTCCAGCCACTTCTCTCCTCTTCTCTCTCCAGCCTCTGCCTCAGCCTTCTCCTATTAGCCGCCAGTTGCACCCTTTCATTTCTTACACGCACCGCCATGCTCAATCTCTCATTCAACACATTTAGCTCATCTTCATACCCAATTATCCTTCCATTTATTACCTTCATTTATTCTCTCATTTGCCTCAGTCATCCTCTCATTCGTTTCCACCTTGAATTCTTACCTCTTCTCCCGATCTTTCAACACCTCCCACTTTATCCTTAGCACTCTCCTCGTATTTCCTCCTGGCACTCTCCATCTTCTCCCCTTCACTCTCACGGTCATAACTACTGGCTTGTGGTCCGACAACTCGTATTCCCCATCCGTCCTCATCTTTTTTACCATCCACCTCCTATCACTCTTCCTCATCACAAACCCATCCAACTCGTACCATCTGCCATACCTCACATTACACCACGTCCCTCTCCTTTTATACCTCATGTACCTATTCACATACTCCAGCTTATGCTCCCCACACCAATGAATTAAATCCCTTCCTGCCTCATTCATATTCCCAATGCCATACCATCCGCACATCCCTTCCCTTTCATTCCCTCTGCCAACATTCGAGTTTAAATCTCCCCCTATAATCAATTTCTCACTTCCACCACACGCAACTTGATTCTCAACCGCTCTCGTGTACCTCTCCATACCGTCATCATTCGTTCCCCACACAGGCTGATACCAGACGCAACCCTCCCAAACACCACAGCAGTCACTCTCTCCTCAAACCATCTTTTCTGTCCATCTCCGAAACACGCCTCTAAAGCCTCAACTCTCAAAACCACAGCCGACTTCTTCTTCCCATGTACCACCAACACTCTTTCCTTTTCCTCACCCAGCCACAACACAC